CAGAAAAATCATCTAATTCAACTTTCTCATTCCTAGAAGAGGGAAACTGAGGCCTACACAGGGGGAAGTAATTTAAGGTCACATAGCTAGTTAATAACAGAAATGGGACAGAAATAAAGCCAGATCTCCTGATTCTCAGTATACCAAGGACCTTCACAGGAGAGGAAAAGGTCAAAACTAGGTGACAGGGATTATGCTGGGTTGTGGTAGTTCCCTGAAGTAAGTATGTAGATTAAACTCCAGTACCAACCTTGGGCTATGACTTTGTTTTTTTTAAATGGTTTTATTTTCAGTATCTTGAGTGGCCTCAAACCTAAATCACTTTACAACAGGCTGTCCCTCTGAGCTTAAAGCACTTTGACCCTAGAAGGATGTGCCTTTATGGGCACAGTGGATTGGGGCCCATTTCCTGGTGCAGAGTTATTAATGCCCTGGTTTCCATGAATTTTTTCTGTATCTTGAAAAGGTTGTAATTTGACTTTAGCTTTAGGCCTGTCCAGTGAGAAACCAGAGCCTCGAACACCTGGTGGATTATCTTCCCTAGTTTCCCTGCTGCCTCTCCCCACCAGAAGCATAAGCAGGCAATGTCCTTCCCCCGGCAATCCCAGCTTCTGGCTCTGTCTAAGGCTCCCCTCACAGCATACCGGCACCCATCACATGCTTATACTCGTAACTTAAGCCAGGGAGTAATTTCCTCTGCTTACAAATTCCAAAGTAGTTTTTAATTCCTTCTAGCAATAACAACTACAATAGCTCACATTTCTGTAGTTCTTTGTTCTACATTTTGTATATATTGTTTTGTCATTTGCTTCCTGTATCACCTTAAGCAAGTCACTATAACCTCTTTGAGCCTCAGTTTCCCAATCTTTAAAATGAGAGGGTTGAACTAGATACCCCCTTCTACTATCAAAGGTCCCTTCTACTTCCAAGTCTGGTTTCCCTGGATTCTTCCAAGACTAAGCTCTAATCCTACCTTCTACAAGAAGTCTTTCCATGTTCCCCCAGCTGCTGATTACTTTCCCTCTTAGACCACCTTCCTATATATCTGGTATGTGCCCAGTTATTTACATGTCATCTCTTCCATTGGAAAGTAAGCCCCTTCAGGGCAGAGACTGTTCTTGCCTTTCTTTTACCTTAATTGTTTGGTACAGTGCCTTGCACATTTTAACTATTTAACAAATGTTTGTTGACTAACTGACCTATTCCTATTCCTGTAACAAGACATTGATGATCAGTGCCAGCTGTTTTTCAGTTGTTTCAGTATCTCTTTATGATCCCATTTGCCGTTTTCTTGGCAAAGATACTGGAGTGGTTTGCTATTTCCTTCTCCAGGTTACTTTACAGATAAGGAAACTGAGAGAAACAGGATTAAGTGACTTGCCCATGAGCACATAGTCTGTGTCTGTGGCCAGATTTGAACTCAGGTCTTCATGACTCCAGGCTCAGTGCTCTATCCACTGTGCCACCTAGTTAAGATTATGTGACATAAATTTATGTTGGACCTGATCAGCACAGGTTTGTGATTATCTCTAGTTTCATTCAGCAGCGTGTGAATTCTAGGCAGAAAATTCCTAAATCTATATATCCAGCCTAATTTCTTTCTTGACCTTCAATCCCACATTACCAACTGTCTATTGCACATTTCCAGTTATATGTCCTGTAGGCATCTCAAAGTCAAGATGTCCAAATTAGAACTCATTATCCTCCCCCACCCCCCATCCTTCCTTCTTCCAAACTTTACCATTTCTACACAAAGCACCTTCATTTGAAGGTTTACAATTTTGGAGTCCTCCTCAGTGCTTTACTCTCTCTGACCTCTCATATCCAAACAATTGCCAAATCTTATCAATTGTGTCCCCACATTTCTCATACCTCTTACCTTCTCTCCACTCACACAACCACTGTCCTAGCTCAAATCCTCACCCACTCCTACCTGGACTATCGCAGTAGTCTCCTGATAATTTTTCCTGCCTTCAGTCTCTCCTTTCTCCAGTCTGTCCTCCACAATCTGCCAAATTGACAGTCCTAAAGGTCCTAAACTCTTGATCAGAAGTTCATTGACTCTCTCTTGTCCTAGGATCATAAGTCCCTCCGTTTGACATTTAAATAGCCCACAATCCACTGCGAGCCTTCTTTTCTAGGCTTCTTGCGCATTATTGTCCTTCACATATGCTATGTTTCAGACAAACTGGTCAACTTGCTGTTCCCATTCATAAGTGCTTCATATCTTATCTCTATGCTTTTGTACTAGCTGTACCCTCAGTTAATACGCCTTCTCCTCCTAACTTCCTTCAAGTCTGAACTCAGGAGCCACCACCTTCCGGAACCCTTCCTGTTCCTCCAAGTTGTTAGTGATCTCTTCCTTCTCACCCTGTCTTGTATTTATTTATTTAGGTTTTATCTACTTGAAAACTTCAATGGCATGTAAGCTCCTTAAGGGAAAAGAATGGTTTTTTTTAATCTTCTTTGTATTTCTAGCATCTAGCTCTGTACGAGACACATAGTAGGCCCTTGACAAATGAGTGTTGAATGAATCAGTGAATGAAGGAGCATCCAAATGGATAATGAATGATTAAAGTCTTTATTAAGCCTTTAGTTACTATGGGCAAACACTGTGCTAATCACTGGGAATATAAAAAAAAGTGAGATAATCTTTGTTCTCAATAAGGTCTCATTCTAATGGAGGAGGCAAATGGAAGGTTTCAGGAGGGAATTGGATGGAAAAGTCCCATCATCCTTGGGGTACAACAGCAAAGTAGATGATAATGCCTCTTTTTTAAATTTCATTTCCATTGATTAAAGCATATCACTTTCTGATTTCAGCCATTTGACAGTACCAAAGACTTTGGTAGCAAGAAGTTTCTTTGCTGGATCTTCAGTAGCTGTGACTTTACCACCCACAGGAGCAGTGGCCAGACTCATTCTGAGAGTGAAGGCTGAGGGCACTGGGCTAGAAGCATTACCATTCCCAAGGCCAGGTCTTGGATTGTTTTCATTGGAGTCTGAGGGGAGATGGTGGTCAAGGTAGTGATGGTAGTGATTTGACTTCACCTGTAACATCCATCCTGTCTCTCTCCCTCATTCCCCCTGCACCTGCCAATAAGCTGGCCTATCTATCCTGAGTGATAAGATCATAGATCCACCATAATATGTATGCCTATGTTTGTGTCTGTGTGTATACATCTGTGTTTGTGTACTTCATCTTGTTCAATTTGGTCCTCTGTTCAGCTCAATTAAACATCTATTAAGTACCTATTATGTTCAAGGTGCTGTGTTAGGGAAAATTCAAAGACAAAAGCAAAGCAGTCCCTATCTTCAAAAAGTTTACAAGGAGCTAGAAGCTATAGCTTGTGCACAGATAAGTAAATGCAAAGTGATTTGAGGAGAATGAGGGAATCAAGGAAAAGCCTTGTGCAAGGGGTGGCCCCAGAGTTGATGCCTGCATGAAAATACAAATTCTAAAAAGTGGAAGTAAGAAGGGAGCACACTTCAGAAACATGGGAGGCCTTGTGCAAAAACATCACAGGCACACAAAAATGAACTGTTGAATTCAGGATACTACTAGTAGTACAGTTTTGTTGGAATGTAGAGTGTGTGGAGGGATACTATAAATCAACCTAAAAAGGTAAATGGGAGCCAGACTGTAGAGGGCTTTCGATTCCAAGCTGAGGAGCTGGCATTTGATCTTAGAAACAATAAGGTCCAGCCTAAAACATTTTAGGATCCTGATTCTGTCATCTCAAGTATGAGCTATCCTTCCAAAATTTGTTTCATCCCCAAATTTAATAAGCATCCCATCAGCATCCATCTTCATTGACATTGTGAGTACAATTGGGCAAAACCAGACCGAGGATGAAGCTCTGAAGGATTCCATGAAGGCTCTCCCTCCAGGTTGAGAGGCGGGTCAGTCAAGCAGTGAAAGAGAGGGAGAACAAAGATATAACCTGAATGCTGCACTAGTGTCTATAAAATATTAAAAAACCAAAAGATGATTAACCAATATTCTTTAAGACCATTCTTTTTTTTTTTTGATGTGGCAATCAGGGTTAAGAGACTTTCTCAGAGTCACACAGCTAGTAAGTATCATGTGTCTGAGGCCGGATTTGAGTTTAGGTCCTCCTGACTCCAGGGCCCGGTGCTCTAATCCACTGAGCCACCAGCTGCCCCTTTGAGACCATTCTTTAAGCCAGTTGGAAAGCAATGTAAATGGATATAGTCTCTCATCCAGCCAACAGCTCTCCATCTCATCCATAAGGATGTCCTGAAAGGCTTTTGTCAAAGCCTTTCCTGAAAAACCAGATTACTGTTCCATAGCATTCCCTGGATCTAGTCTAGGAATCCTGTCAAAGAAGGGAACGAGGTTAGGTTGACGTGACTTATTCTTATAAAAGTAGTAACCACAAGGACCCAGAATAATTCAATAAGTGTTCCCAAACCATCCATTTAATAATCCAATCTAGAATTTTGTCAGCGGAGTATTTAAGGGATCATTCTGTCATCTACAGAATTCACTTTCTTCCCCCCTTGTGGTAATTGATACATGACCATATCCAGTTTTTAAGTAGGCCTCCTGTTTATCAAGCATGATGCCTCAAAGATTGTTGTTGTTTCATCCTGTCCAACTCTTTGTGACTCCATTTGGGGTTTTCTTGGCAAAAATACTAGAGTGGTTTGCCATTTCCTTCTCCAGCTCATTTTACACATGAGGAAATTGAGGCAAACCAAGTTAAGTGACTTGCCCAGCGTCACACAACTAGTAAAAGTCTGAGGCCAGATTTGAACTCAGGTCTTCCTGATTCCAGGCCTCTCTCCACTTTGCCACCTAGCTGCCTTGCCTTAAAGATTAAGGGGAAGTATAAAGAACTAAGGGGAGCTGCCCAGCTATCCTGTCTTCGCGCACAGTGTGGGTGCAAAAAGCAGCACAGCATAGTAGAGAAGGGAGTGAATGTGGAGTCAGAAGACCTGGATTCAGATCCTGCCTCTGCCATTTGCTAACTTACCTTGGACCACTCACTAGACTTCTCCAAACTTCAGTGCTGTCTTCCTTTTATGGATGAAGACACTTTGGCAACCTAATGAAGGGGAGGGATTATTACCCTAGGGTATAATTAATCTGGGAGAGGTAACAAATGCAGTTAGAGAACCTTGATGCTTTTACTATTTCCTATTTCCTTGTCTCCTCCTATTCCCCAATTCAGCCCTCTTAGCAACGTTTTACACAAGCCACCTTACTCAGCTATTCTCCTTCTTCCTTCTCCAATACCCGATTCTGTATTTTTCTAGCTCTCAAAACTTTCTTCCTTCCTTCATGAAGTGACTAAGACCCCACCTCCAGATGCGAGAGAAGTATGGCTGGCTTAGGATATAGTTTTGCTTACCCTTCCTCCCCCTTTATTTCCTAGTATAATCCTCCCTCCTCTAGAACCCTATCCTTTACTTTCTTTTTTTAAAATCATCAAAAATAACAAAACCACTCCAAAATGCCTAATAACCTTAGAATTCTGAAGGGATATTTGTATCATCCCTTGACTTGAGGACATTCTAAAAGACAGATGAAAAGAAAAGCTATCTTTCCTCCCCAGGAAATGTTAATAATTCTGAAACAAGGGGAATTGAGTGCATTGATATTTAATATTATTTATAGCAAATCATTTTAAAGCCACATGGAAATGTACCAATGAAATATTTTTAAGTAGCTCTTGAATTTAAAAGAAAACATAAAAGCATCTTTTTTAAAACTATCAAAAATAGGTTGCTTTTTGATTTATATAACTTAGTTCAAAGAGGCACCAAGGATAGTCAAGTCAACAAGCATTTATTAAGCACTTACTACATGCTATATTTGGACAACTAAATGGTACAGTGGAAAAAAGCACCAGGCCCCGGAGTCAAGAAGACCTGAGTTCAAATGTGACCTCAAATATGTACTAGCTGTGTGACCCTGAGTAAGTCACTTAACCCTGTCTGCCTCAGTTTCCTGCTTTGTAAAATGAGCTGGAGAAAGAAATGGCAAACCACTCTAGTATCTTTGCCAAGAAAACCCTAAGTGGGGTCACAAAAGGTAGGACAGGACTGAAAAAACTGAACAGCAACACGTGCTGTATATGTAGTGGGAAAGGCTAGAGAGAAGGGATCAAAAGACCTCACTTTCCCTTCTGGTTTCAATGTTTACTTGCTGTGCAATCCTACATTTAATTAATTTCATTTCTTATCTGTAAAACAGGGATAATGATTCCAGCTCTAAGGTGTAATGAAAAAAAATATTAGATTTTTAAACATGGGGCCTGTGTTTGAATTCCAACATTGAAACTTACTACTTTGTGTCTTAGGGAACTTTATACCTCTTGGATTCTGTTTCTTTATTTGTAAAGTAAGAAGATTGGATTAAATGATGTCTGTGGTCCCCTGTGGTTCTAAATTCTATGATCTTCTGTCATCTTCCCCACAGCCTAGTCTGAAGAAGAAGGTATTTTGTGTCCCATATAATTTTTTTAAAATGTCTTTCATTTATATCTCCCATAAAGTATATTTCCTTGGTGGTATTTAGGATTTCTTATTATAAAAGTTTCTTAGCAATAACAAAAAAAAAAAGCTACTTTCCTTTATCAAAAATTTTTTTTTGTTTGGGAAGATAGTGTCTAGGATTAAGGAAATGATTATCTCTCTGTCCTCTGCTTGGGTCAGAATGTATCTGAAATACTGTATTCAGTTCCAGGGTTTACAGTTTAGGAAGAAAAATTGAGAAACTGGAAAAGATAAAAAATTACACAGAACATAGGATCCCAAATCTAGACCTGAAAATGTCCTCAGAGGCAATCTAGCCCAGACACCTTTATCTATTGAATTGGGCACTAAACTAATGTATATTCAGTTACACACCCTGTGGGTCATCTATAAAAGAGCAAGCCAGTTTGATAAGTAGAATTACTCCATGGTGAGCCAGGAAAGAGCTGTCTGGAATCACTTGTGGGAAGAGGAGAGGAGAACATTCTCTTCCTTCCAACCCATATTTATAACATGTCTCAGATATTCCCCTTTCTCTCTGACACTTCCACCTCTGTAGTATAGGCTCTCATCACCTCATACCTCGAGTACCATAATAGCCTGCCAGAGGGTCTGCCTGCCTCAAGTCTCTCTCCACTCCAATCCGTCCTCCATTCCACCACTAAAGGGATTTTCCTAGAGCTCAGATTCACTCATCTCATCCCTCTACTCAATAAACTCCAGTAGTTCTCTATTGCCTCAGGATCAAATACGAAATGCTATGTTTGGCATTCAAAGCCCTTCATAACTTAGCCCCCTCCTACCTTTCCAGTCTTCTTTCATCTTACTTTCTGACCCAGTGACATTGGCCTCGTAATTGTATGCCTTTACTCACCCCTCATGGTTCAAATGCTCTCCTTCTCCACTCTGACTACTGACCTCCCTGGCTTACTTTAGGTCTCAGTTAAAATCCCATTCTCTACAGGAATTTTCCCCCAAACCCTCTTAATTCTAATGCCTTCCTTCTGTTAATTATTTCCTTTATCTTGTATATACTTTGCTTGTATACATTTGTTTGCATGCTGTCTATTCCATTAGATTGCAAGCTCTTTGATGGCAGAAACCATTTTTTTTACCTCTTTTTGTACCTCCAGTATTTAGAAGCACAATGCTAGGCACATAATAGACATTTAATAAATGTTTATCGGTTGATTGATTGTGAACAAATGATTTGGACTTGTCATTCCTGCCTTAGTGGTATCCCAGGAACAGCAGTGGCTGTCAGCAGTGTCTACATTAAAGTTGAAGACAAACTACATGCATTGAGGAAAGTCAGCTTCAAGGACACTTTAAGTAGTCCAACTGAAGCTATACCATACCTAAGGAGAATTTCATAAAGTATCCCCAAAGGGAAAACAAGGATTTCCAGGAGCTATTACTTACTACATCCTAGGAATGTGCTGGATGGAGCCAACTAAGACCTGCTCATTAATTTTCTGTAAGAGCATTTACACCTTGGAAATGGCAAAAGCTACAAACCAGATCTTGATTTATTCTTTTGTTAGTTGTCTAGACTTAAGAGAGTGATAGAGGGAATGTTAATAATACTGATTTCACATAAAAGCCCGTAATGAGTATATTTCCCCCCTGGACAGTTGGTTGTTAAACATTCCCCAATACATTTCTGACTTGTTGCCACATGAGCTCTAAGCCTGAACTCTACTTTCTTTGGACTCTATGTTTTTATAAAAGACTATACACCCTGTTTGGAGAGAGGAGGGATATTTTGTATCAACTATTCTTACCTAATATACCACCTTTGTAAAAAAAAAATTTTTTTATAAAAAGTCCTCTGGATGGCTTATTGAATCAATGGATAATCATGGAGGAAACATAACAATGAGTGACTCATGAGCTACAGCATTAAAAATGTACCTTCCCCCACTCCCACCCCAAGCCCATCTGAGTTAACTCCAGAGTCCTGTGGGGACTTAGCTACACTCTGGGAACCCAACAGGCCAGTGCAAATGAGAATTGGGAGAAGGAGTACCAGAGCTACATAAGCAGAAAGTGAACCCAGGTCCTGAATACAGAGGTAGTTTGCTTTTCACATTATCACAAGAACAGAGTAGGGAAACAGAGAAAGGTAAAGGGACTTGAAGTCCTGAAACTGGGGATGCTTAACTTAGAGAAGACTTAGGTAGAGATGTTGTTATTACTGTTAAATGGGATGTTATATGATAATATAATTCATAATATTATTGATTATAACTATAGTTAATAATATTTTAAATCGTGTTATTATGTATCATTGTAGGATATATGAAACAATATCAACAATATATTAATATTGATTTAATTAAACAATTTAAAATAAATTATTAAAAATAAGATGTTAAGAATGTGTTGTGCACATATTATGTCATATATGATATGTGATATAAATTATATGATTACATGTTATAATATATCGTGTATGTTTGTGTAATATATAATATATATGCTACATGTTATAGAATAATATGTACTAATAATATAATAATATCTTAGAGACATTAGAGCTGTCTTCAAGTATTTGATTTGAAGGGCTATTGTGTGGAAGGGGAATTAGATTTATTCTGCTTGGCCTCAAAGGGCAGAACCAAGAATGATGGGAAGAAAGGATAAAGAGACAAATTCAGGCTTGACTTAAACATGTTTGAAGAATTAAGAGCTCTCCAACAGCTGAATTGGTCATTTCTAGAAGGGAGTGAGTCACCCAAAGCCTTCAAATAAAAAGGCTCAAGGGTGATGTCATATAGGGAATTTACATTAGGAGATGCATTGGTCTAGAAATTAGGGCCATATCTGGCCTCCTAGGTCCTTGGGTTTGGCTTTTTGACTAAGTCTCAGTTTCACAGAACAAATCCTTTGTTCTGTGAAGTTTGGATTCAGTCAAAGGGTGGCCCTAGAGGGTCACATGTGGCCTCAAGGCCACAAATTCCTTCCCCTGGTCTAGGTGCCTTCTGAGGTCTCTCTCAACTTTGAGATTCTATGACTCCTTACCCAGTTTTAGATTTGCCTCCATGCTGAATTTGTACTCAGAGAATCTGCCACTTCCTAGCAATGTGACCTTGGGCTGTTATTATTATCTAAACAAAATGGTTCTCAAGAGAATTGGACATTGTTTCAAAACCAAACAAATCTGCCCCAAGTTGGGAAAGATAAGGTACAATCCCCAAGTGAAAAGTGCTAAAGCATGAACATTAGGGGCAAGGAGATTGAGGCCTGGAGGCCACATTCCACACATTCATGGAACATGTTGAAAGGAGCTAATAATTAAGGAAGAAAAAAACAAAATGGAAGCATAATATTCCAATAATTAAAACTCTTTGACCCTTCTTCAAGAAACTGGAGTAGTAGGGCAACCATAATTCGACAGTGTTGGAGAACTTCAAGAAACTGGAATGATTTTTTTTTTTATTTCAAATTTTAAAAATGCTTTTTCTGATTCCAGATGCAGCTTCAAAGACACCTCTAGCACTTACTTACGTAAATTGTTTTGGAGTACAAAGTGAAATTTAACAGCTCAAGAGAAGAACAAACTGTGCCCGGTGGTCTTGCTGGGCTGGGCTTGTCTCAGGATTAGCTGAAGGCTCTCAGAGAGAGTTAGGGTGGGGATTGGCTCAGTGCTTTAATGAGGAGCAAGATTGTTGGGAATGACTTTGATCTGGGCAACCTCAGGAAAGGTCATGCATTCATTTATAATTATTTTAATTTCCCTGTAGTTTTGTTTTGTTTTATTTGAGAGATGTTGTAAGTCTAGTTATAATGTGTTTAACTGGGCGTCTGGGAGGCCCCAAGTCAAATCTTGTCTAAGACTTAATAGCTATGTGACTATGGCAGGTCACTTAATCTCTTGAAGCTTCTATTTCCTCATCTGTAATGTAAGTAGGGTTGGACTTGATTTCTAAGATCCTTTCCACATGTAAATCTAGGTGCCAAGATGGCAGAGCAAAAGGAGAATTCAAGCTGAACTCTCTGAACATTACCCTCTAAACACATTGAAAAGAATATATCAAATTGAATTCTAAAATGGCATTATCTAAATGCCGCTTTTAATTTTTTTTTTAAATCAACAAAAGGTCAGAGCGAGACCTTTTTCCAGCTCAGGACAACTTAGGAGGTCGAAAGAAGTCTGTGGCACTGGGGTAGAGGCTGGCTGGGAGTAAAGTACAATTCTGACAACAACTGGGGGCCTTGGAGGCAGGAGAACAGCAGCGTACCTAGAACCCTCACCACCACCACCACCACCACCCCCCCAGAGATGGTGAGGAATTGAATGCCTATTCAGAAAGGGATTTCAAGGAATGCCTGGGCTATCACTAGAAGCATGAGAGAGCACTTTGTGAATTGCATTGCCCATTACCCAGTTCTGAGTCTCAGGAGGAGTACTTGCCATTTACAATGGGGGCAGAGGCCATAGTTCCTGGTCACAATTCCAGGGAGGAAAGGAGTTGTGATTGTAAGAAAGTAAGGACCCTACCTGGGTAAGAATCTGATCCCAGATCAGGAGAACAGTGACCACATGTCTTCCTAGATCATACCATCTTGGAAGCCCCCAAAATGTACAGGTCCCTAGAACTAGCTGTGAAAACATCAGAGAGAGAAAGCCAGAAGCTTGGGGCAGTGCCCGCCTCCTAGAGATGAGCAGAACTCAATTGTAACATAAAGTTCAAAGTCAAGAAATAGGTTGAAAAAAAATGAACAAACAACAACAAAGAACCTGGCCATAAAAAATACTGTGGTGACAGAGAAGCTCAAGATACAAATTCAGAAGAAGCCAATGATGTGAAAACATCTACAAGCAAAGCCTCAAAGAAAAATGTAGATCAGACAGAAGCCCAACAAGAATTTCTAGAAGAGCTAAAGAAAACACTTTTTTAAGAATTACTTTAAAAATCAAATAAGAGCAGTAGAAGAAAAATTAGGGAAAGAAAAGAGAGCAAGAAAATGCAAGAAAGTTTTGAAAAGAGAATTAACAGCTTGGTAAAAGAGGCACACACAAAAAAATACTGAAAAAAAAAGTCCTTAAAAAACATAATTGGCCAAAAGTAAAAGAGGTACAAAACCTCAGTAAAGAAAATAATTCCTTAAAAGTTAGAATTTGCCATTTGGAAGCCCATGACTCCACAAGACATCACAAAAAAATAACACAAAGTGAAAAGAATGAGAAAATTGAAGAAAATATAAATATCCTGTCTGAAAAACATCCTACCTGGAAAACAGACCAGGGACAGATACTTTAAGAATTATTGGAGTACCTGACACTGACAAACAAACAAACAAAAAAGAACCTACACATCATATTTCAAGACATTATCAAGGAAAACTGTCCTAATATCTTAGAACCAGAGGGCAAAATAGACACTGAAAGAATACACTAATCATCCCCTCAAGGAGATCCCAAAATGAAAACCTCCAGGAATATTATAGCCAAAATCCAGAGCTACCAAATCAAGGAGAAAATATAGCCAGCAGCCAGAAAGAACCATTCAAATACCATAGAGCCATAGTCAGGATCACACATGATTTAGCAGCTACTACAATAAAGGATCAGAGGGCTTAGCATATGATACTTCAGGAAGCAAAGGAGCTAGGATTACAACCAAGAATAACCTCTCCAGGAAAACTGAGTATAATCTGGGGGGGGGGGGAGAGAGAAATAGATATTTAATGAAATAGAGGGCTTTCAGGCATTTCTGATGAAAAGACCAGAGCTGAATAGAATAATCTGACATTCAAACACAAGACTTAAGGGAGTTATAAAAAGGTAAACATGAATGAGAAATTATGAGGAACTTAATGACATCAAACTGCTTACAATCCCAAATGGGAAAGTGATACACGTAACCCCCAAGAACATCATTAGGGCAGTTAGAAGGAATCTACTTAGACAGAGGGCATTGATGTGAATCTATCATGTTGGGATGATCTCAAAAGAAAAATAGAAAGTTGATAAATAGGATGTACTGACAGAAGGGGAAAGGGAAGGAAGAATAAGGAAAATTATTTCATGTAACAGAAGCCTTTAGGGAAGAAGTTGGTGTTATTGTTGTTTTTTAAATGGAGTGGAAAGTAGGGGAGTGGAAGGGATAAGCAATGCTTGAATCTCCAGATCTAAATCTATGATCTTACATAATTTCCTTGCCTGTATCTCACTCACAAGAAACTCTGGCTGCCTGAAAGTATCGATAGATAGTCAATGGGGGATGCCCCCCAGTGGAGACTTATGAGGTTTAGCGATAAAAATATACTCTCCACCCCTACCACTCCAGCCCATCAGGGTTAACCCCAGAGCCTTAAAGGGATGTCATAGCCACCCTTTAGAGACCTAGCCTTCCAGTGCACGTGGATATTAGAAGGACAAGCCCCAGAACATTTGTTCTTTCTGAGGAAAAAGACCCTGAACCTTGCTATAGCTTACTAATAGCTAGCATTTATGCTTTACAAAGCATTTCACATATGTTATCTCATTTAATCCTCACAATAACACTGGGAAATAGGTACTATTATTAGCACCATTTTATAGACATGGAATCTAAAGATAAGAGAAGTTTGGTGTTTGGCCAGGGTTTTCACCCTCCCCTACTATCCCCATTCCAACCCCCCTAAAGACTGTTACTTTCTCCAGGGCATTATACCTATAACAGGTACTACCACATAACTTTGTGGAAGCTACCTGAATGGGAGTCAGTGTTTAATCAAGATGTATGCTGATATTCTAATAAAGTTCTATTTTCGTACCATAACTGGTTATATTGTGTGTTTATATCCAAAGTTCAAAGACATCAGTTCTCTATTCATGAGACAGAGGTAGACTCAGGATTTAGAGCTGAAAAGGACCTTAAAGAAAATCTAGCCCACACTCCTCATTTTACAGATAAGGAAACTGAGGCCCAATGAGGTCCCTAAAGTGACATAGGTAACAAATAGAAGAAAGAGGATTGGAACCCATATATACATCTAATACCTTTGTCATGACTGCCTCTTAATCTAACTGTATGAGCCTACATTACTCTGTTAATATATTAGCCAAATGAGAAATTACCATTTGAAGCAAAGTTTTATGAAATATAATACTTAATTACGGCCTTTATCTAACTTTGACTAGTTTTATTTATTACTTAGCTTAACTCAGTGAACTAAGAAGTAAATAAAGGGAAGAAAGAAAAATATGCAAATTATAGATCAGTGTGCTTAACTTCTTTTCCTGGCAAAATTCTAGAACACATTAATAAAGACATGGGTTAAAAGCATTTAAAAGAGGAAGTAATGATTACAAAAGTTTCCATAGTTTCATCCAAAATAGGTCAGGCCATACTAACCATATTTCCTTTTTTTTTTGAAAGAGTTATGTTACTAACAGAATTTCTTACCTATCTTTAAACACTGAATGGGCATTGCTTCAGTCAAAGTGAGAATTCGGAAAGACCTTAGCTTAAAAAGGCTGTCTTCCACTGCATCTAGGACCATCTCCAGTTGCCCTGATCTTGCCACTGGACCCAGATGACTCTGGAGAAGAAAGTGAGACTTCGGAAAGCCCTCCTTCACTTAAATACAATTCACTTGCAAGTCATGGCGTAACCTTCCTGATATCATCGTCCTCTTTGAGAGCAAAGGACACTCAGCAACAGTAGGAAGTGTACCTAGATTTTAGCCAAGTACTTGACAAAGCTTTTCACGCCAGACAGAACTGAAAAATAGGAGCTCAGGGTTCTTTAAGGCAATTTAAAAAAACAATTGAATGACTGGATCTAAAGACTAATCTTTGATGTTAGTAACTTAACTCTTTCCAGACCAACATTTGATCCAATTACACTATGTCACGCTGCCTCTTGAAAAAAATAAAATAAAAATTGCTAAAAAGCTAATGCTCTCCTGGGTTGCATTAAGGGAAGTATTGTTTCTAGAATATGAGAGTTAATAGTTTCACTATATTCAGCCCTGATTAAGCCGCATGTCCAGGCTCTTCACTCCTGACTTCCTCTACCATATCCCAGCTCTTCATTCTGAAGCTCATTCTAGTCCTAGAATTCTCACACTGGATATTCTCTGCCATTGCTGGCCTCTCCGTCTGATTGGATGGCTCCTCTCAGAATCTCCATTTTTGTTTTTTGTTTTGTTTTGTTTTGTTTTGGCTAGGCAATGGGTGTGACCACAGTCACACAGCTAGTAAGCGTTTTGTGTCTGAGGCCAGACTTGAACTCAGGTCCTTCTGAATCCAGGGCCGGTGCTCTATCCACTGCTTCACCTACCTGCCCCCAGAATCTCCATTTTAAGGAGGGTGACTGGGTCAGACATGTCTTAATCCTCTCCAGGCTGCAATCTGGACTTCTACCATGCCCTGGCACTGGGTACTTTTGTCTCCTCCTCTCTATCCCTTCCTGTCCTTCTTTTCACTTTTCTTTTATATGTTGTCTTCCCCATTGGAACATAAGCTCCTTGAGGGCAGACTGTCTTTTCTTTCTATTTGTATTCCCAGTGAACTCACTTAATAAATACTATTTGACTGAGTGGCTGACATTTTAAGTACTGTAATGAGTTCTGGATACATTTTAGGAGAGGTATGGACAAACTTCGCTGGGAGAGACTTAAGGAATATGTTATACAAGCTTCAGTGGAAGGAACTGGGGATGGGTATCCTGAAGAAGAGAAGACTTCCAGGCGTCATGATAATTGTCATGTCAATATTTGAGGAGTTATTAGGTAGAAGAAGTATTATACTTGCTTTGATCAGTGCCAGATGGCAGAAGTCAGAACAATGGGAAGAATTTGCTAGGAGACAGATTTAGGTTTGATGTAAAGAGGGGAAAAAAAATGTGTTTAACAACCAGGTCTGACCAAAAGTGGAATGAGCTACCTTCAGAGAGGGTAAGTTCCTCTTCTTAGAGGGTCTTAAGTATTAATCAATTAACAAGCATTTATTAAGTACCTACTCTATATCAGGCACTGTGCTAGGCACTGGGGATGAAAGTATAGATAATGAAATAATCCCTACCCTCAAGAAGCTTACACTCTAATAAGAGAGACAAAAGTACAAAAATGACAATAATAAGACATGTATCAGTACATACAGAATAAATACAAAGGGACTACATAAAAATAAATGTGAAGTAGTTAAGCACAAGGTAGTTTGGGATGAAGGAAGCTAATCAAAATGACTCTAATGTACCACATCACACCTATCAGACTGGCCAACATGACAAAACAGGACAATGATAAATGTTGGAGAAGACGTGGGAAAATGTGAACACTGATGCATTGTTGGTGGAGTTGTGAACTAATCCGACTATTCTAGAGAGCAGTTTGGAACTATGCCCAAAGGGCTATAAAATTGTACATACCCTTTGACTCACCAATACCACTTCTAGGGCTATATAACAAAGAGATCATAAAAACAGGGAAAAGACCCATGTGTACAAAAATATTCATAGCAGCTCTTTTTGTGGTGACAACAAATTGGAAATTGAGGGGATACCCTTCAATTAGAGAATGGCTGAACAAGTTGTGGTATATGAATGTAATGGAATCCTATTGTGTTATAAGAAATGATGAGCAGGCAGACTTCAGAAAAACCTAGAAAGACTTATAGGAACTGATGCAGAGTGAAGTGAGCAGAAGCAGGAGAACATTGTACACAGTAACAGCTACACTGTGTGATGACTGACTTTGATAGACTTGGCTCTTCTCAGCAAGGCAAGGATCTGAGACAGCTCCAAAAGACTTAAAAGAACTATGGAGTCTGAATGCAGATAGAAGCATACTATTTCCTTTCCTTTTCCTTCATTTTATTGCTTCATTCTTATGGTTCCTTCCATTAGTTCTAATTGTTCTTTACATTATGACTAATGGGAAAATATGCTTAATATGAAAGTATAAGTAGAGCCTATATCAGATTGCACACTGTCTTGGGATGGGGAGAGGAGAGGGAGGGGGAGAAAATTTAAAACCCAAAATCTTATGAAAGTGAATGTTGAAAACTAAAAATAAATAAATTAATTATTTTACAAAAAGAAAAAAAAAAGAACAGGTGTTTGGGCTGTGCCTTAAGGGAAGAGAAAGACTCTGTGAGATTGGGGTGAGGAAAGAATGCATTCCAGGATGTCCAGCACAAAAATACAGAAAAAGGAGATGGTGTTTCTTATATATGAGGAACAGAGAGAAGGCCAGTTGGGCTGAGTCATAAAGTGAAGGAAGGGGAGTGCTCTTCAGTGATGCTGGAGATAGGTTGGGGTAAGGTTGTAGAGGGCTTTAAAAACTAAACAGAGGAATTTATAGATATAGGAAGCCACTGCATTGATTGAGGAGGGGCACCACATGGTCACACCTAAGCTTAAGGACAAGCGTTTTGGCAGAAGGGTGTAGGATGTACTGGAGTAGGGGAAGATTTAAAGTAGGTGGACAATTAAGAGGTTGTTGTAGTAATCTAGGAATGTGATGAAGGTGATAAATACATAGGAGGTGATGAAGACCTGAAATGAGGTAGTAGCTATAGAAAGATGGTGATGCCTTCAATAGAAATAGGAAAATTTGGAAGAGGGGAAAGTTTGGAGAGAAAGATAGTGATCTATGTTTTGGACATGGTGAGTTTATGATGTCTCTGGGACATCCAGTTTGAAACAACTAATAGGTGACATGGGACTGGAGCTCAAGGGAGAGCCTGGGTTGAATAGATCTGAGAGTTATGTAAGTAGAGATGATAGTTAAACCCACGGGAACTAACGAAGTTATCTCTTCTCTACAAGGGCCTGAAAGAAAAGGGAGAAATAAACAGGAACCAGGACCTAGACTTGTGGAAAACCCAGAGTTAGTGGGTATGATATGAGCCGGCAAAGAAGACTCAGAAAGATCAGTCAGATAAATAGGAGGAGAACCAGGAGAGAGCAGTGTCATGAAAATCCAGAGAGGAGAGAATATCCAGGACAACAGGAAGGTTGACTGTCAAATGCAGGTGATAGGTCAAGAAGGATAAGGACTGAGAAAAGGCCATCAGATTGGCAGTTAAGGGATCATTAGTACCTTTGGAGAGAGCAATTTCATTTGAGTCCTGAGGTCAGAAGTCAGGTTACAAAAGGTTGAAAGGTAAGGGGAGAGAAGGCAGCAAGTGCAGACACATTTTACAAGGAATTTGTCTGAGAAAAGGAAAAAGGTATGACAGTATCTTTAGGGGATGATTGGGGTTCAGTGAATTTTGTTTAAGATGGAGAGACTTGGGCATGCTTTAAAGCAGTAGGGAAAGAGGGAAAGATAGGGAGAAACTGGTGGTGGAGAGAGAGAGAGACAGAGACAGAGACAGAGACAGAGAGACAGAGAGAGACAGAGACAGAGAGACAGAGAGAGAGACAGAGAGAGAGAGAGAGAAGGAAAGGAAGAAAGAAGGAAAGCAAGCAAGCAAGCAAGAAAGAAAGAAAGAAAGAAAGAAAGAAAAAGAAAGAAAGAAAGAAAGAAAGAGGAGGGATTAGGATCAAACACACATATAGATGAGTTGGCCTTGGCAAGGAAAAGGGCCATTTCTTTTAGGGACTGAAGGAAAGGAGGAGAGAGTGGGAAATAATGTCAAGGGATTTTATAATGATAAGAATGAGAGGAGAGGGACCTTATCAGGCCTCAATTTTCTCAATAAAGTAAGAGGCAAGGTCCTCAGCTAATGGGGGTAGAGGAAGCTTCAGGAGGGAAAAGGTTTGGAATAGTTTCTCCAGGGAGTGATGCTTTTTGCTCAGTTTTTTCAGTCATATCCGACCCTTCATGACCTCATTTGGGGTTTTCTTGATGAAGCTACTTGGAGTGGTTTGCCGTTTCCTTCTCCAGCTTACAGATGAGGAAACTAAGGCAAACAGGGTTAAATAACTTGCCCAGGATCACAAAGCTAGTAAGTGTCTTAGGCTGGTTTTGAACTCAGGTCTTACTGACTCCAGGCAGGGCACTCTATCCTTTTTGCCAACTAGCTGCCTATGGGGAGTGATACAGGGAATCAATTAAGAAGGAATAAAAGGATTGCCTTGGTGTAGCAAGGGCTCATTTGTGTTGGATAAAATGGATTTATCGTGTAACCAATCAGCATAGTCACTCATGACTCCTTCCAGATTCATGAACAGGATCAGAGGAAGTGAAAGAGGGAGTAATGTAAGGCAGAGTTTGGCAAAATATGAGGGGGAAAGGTCAAGGGGTCAAGACATTCAAGCACAGAGGACAGTATAGATTCGAAATGGCTAACTATTGGGTTGAGATTGGAAAGGGAAAAAAGTAAAGTCAGATCAGAAGTTGTCATGGCCTTAGGAAATCCCAAGAGGAGGGGATGATTGGAGATCCTAATGAAGATAAAGAATAGATTCAGAGGAGTGAATCAAAATGGTAGGAGGTTGTGGTCAAATAGGAAATGTCAGAATTTTTAATTAGGGAAGTGGAACACTTTGGGAATAATGATGATAATCTAGAGTATGACCAATCCCTATGTGTGACAGAAGTGGAGTGAGGGAGTAGATCTTGGCATTTAAAGAGGCTAAGGAATTAGTAACAGGATGACCATTTGTTGTAGTCTTGAAGATTCTATCCCCACAATATTTTGCATCTGTTCCCTTCTTTTCACTCATATAGCAACCATTCTTATTCAGGCCCCTCATTACTCTCACTTATTCTGCTTTGGTCTGTCTGACTTCTCTTCCCTTGAATCCTCCCACACAGATATAAACACAATTTTCCTTAAAGCACAGGGGCCTGATCATGTCACTCCCTTGCTTAAAAATTTTCATTGGCTCCTTATTGCCTTCAGGATAAAATACAAACTCCTCAGCTAGACATTTAAAACCTTGCATAGTTTGGTTCTGACCTACCTTCCTGAACTTATTTTACATAAGTATATTTACCTGTAAATTTATTTATAAATTTATTTGCTTACAAATATACTTCCCTCTAAACATTCCCTATTTCAGGCAAATTGGCCTATTTGCTGTTCCCCAAACTCAGTATCCTATTTCCCATCCCTTATACATGCTGTCACCCTATACCTGGAACATATTCCCTCCCAGCCTCTGTCTCAAAGATTCCTTATTGTCCTTCTTTAACTTAACTTTCTTCCTTAACTTCCTCCCCATAGCCTTTCCTGTTCTTTTAAGTTGTTAGTATTCTCTTCCAGCACAGACTATACTGTATTGCCTTGTCTGTTTTACATGTATTCGGCAGAACATATGCAAGGGCAGATCTTGTCTTTGTACCCACACACAGAGCCTGGCATATAGAAGACACTTAAATAAATGGTGAATTGAATTGATGTTGACGAAGGAATTTCTGGTCACTGATGAACTCTCAGGTGTTGGGGGGAAAATGGTTGGACTAGATAGCCTTTGGATACCCTTCCAAAACAGTCTTTCTTCCTTAAGTCATTCTGAATCTTTTCTTAAGCTCAAAAGACCAGGTTGCCTTCATGCTGCACTTCCCATGGTTACTCAGAATTCTCAAGTGTGATGTCCCAGGGGACATCAGAATACCTTATGTTCTAGACTTTGACCCATCTACCTAGCCTCAACTCAGCTAAAACTGGTATTATGCAACAACAAAAAATAGTCTGGATAACAGTGCCATGACAGCTATCTGGGAATAGGAATGTGGGAAAGGAAATAAATCAATGGCTAAATATGATTGACTGTCCCCTCCCACGTGACAATGCAGCCTGGGCCATCTCTGGGGACCTTGGAGGTTGGGGAGAGATACCATAAGGGAACAATTGAATTTAGAATTGGAAGGAAAAGCAGGGGTGGGGGAACTTGTGACCTCAAGGCCACATATGGCCTTCTAGGTCCTTGGGTGCAGCCTTTTGACTGAGTCCAAGTTTTACAGAAAAAAATCCTCCCATTAAGGGGATTTGTTTTGTGAAGTTCAGATTCAGTCAAAGGGCTGTATTTGAGGACCTAGAGGGCCACATGTGGCCTTGAGGCTGAAGGTTCCCCACCCCTGCTCAAAGCCTTTCATAACTGAGCCCCCTTCTACCTTTCCAGTCTTCTTACACCTTACTCTCCAACATATACTCTTCAGTCCAGTAACACTGGCTTCCTCCTGGCTATTCCAAGAACAAGTCACTCTGTCTCTTGGCTCTAGCCATTTTCATTGGCTGATCTCCATGTATCTGATGCTTTTGCTCCTGCACTCCAACTACTGTCCTCTCTAGCTGCCTTTAAATCCCAGCCAAAATCCCACCTTCTACAGGAAGCCTTTCCCAACCCCTCTTAATTATAGGATCTTCCTTATGTTAATTATTTCTAATTTGTCCTCTATATAGCTTGCTTTGCATATATTTGTTTTCATGCTATCTCCCCCCCATTAGATTGTAAAGTCTTTGAGAGCAGGGGCTATTTCTCTTTTATTTATATTCTTTTCACTTTGCAAAGTGCCTGGCACATAGTAGACGCTTAATAAATGTATTGATTGATTGATAGAAATCATCCAGCTCACCACCACCACCACTACCACCACCTCATGTAGAAAAAGAAACTGATTCCTGGAGTAAAGTGACGTCTTGCCCAATTGGGGTTAAACAGGTAAGTATCAAAGTCAGTAGTTAGATAACATCTTCTGACTCCAGTCTATTGTTCTATCTATTAAACTGCACTGGTTCCCAAGAACAGAAGGCCCTCAAGAGAAATTTGCCCAATGTTTTAAATCTGGCCAGAGCCAGGTCTCTTAATATGTGCCACGTACGGTGCTAAGTGCTGAGAATATAAGTACAAGCAAAAAGAAAGTCCTTGCCCTCGGGAAGCTTAAATTCTTTCGTGAGTAATCATGAGAAGGGATTAGTTTAAATTTTCCTTTCTATTTAAGCATGGATCGGTTTCACTCTGCGTGGGTGTGGAGAGCACCCACGTTGTCAGTCTCTGGAGAGGCTGGACAAGGCCCCCTAACAAGCCCAAAGCACATTCCTGGGCAAGAACCTATTCATCCAGGCCTTGATGGAAACCAGGCAGCGGAGTTATAATCCACACCCAGGCTAGTTGCCTCAATTCGGGGTCACACCAACAGGGCTGAGAAGCGTTCTACCCTAGCTCGAAAGAGCCTGGAACTACAAGTCCAGAAGGCATTGAGGCACCGACGCGACTACTGATTGGCTGCGCGGGCCTCGCCCCCGCCCGCCTCTCCGGATTCGGATCTCTGCAGGGGGTAAGTAGGGACTGAGCTAGCCCTGTTCGCAGCTGCTCGGAAGCCTTGGTCGGGACGTGGACTGGCTGCTTTCTGGCCCCATGGCTGTATGGTCAGTATCCCGGACGCTCAGGGGGCTCCTGCAGGCTGCCGGTCGGGGCTGCAGTTCAGGGGCCCCCGCCACGCTGCCTCGGAGTGGGGAGCCGGCTTTGCAAGAAGCCGAGGTGAGCGAGCCCCTCTGGGCATCCAAACTTCCCTCGGGGAGGTGGTAGTCCAGGCCCTCCGGAGAGATGCACCCCCACGCCCGGCCCCGTTAGCGTCTGCCCTCTTATGCTTCTGCAGGCACCCCCAAGCGCTTAGGAGATGGGGAAGAGTCGGAGGTGATTGGATGCACGCAGTGGACTGGGTTGGGGTGAAGTGAGGTAAAGAAGGGGCACCCCAGAGGCTCTGCAAACCCGAGGACTGCAGGGGCAATGACTTTTGCTAAAAGGGAGGTCAGAGTGCCTGTGGTCCAAACCCACCTGCCCTCTATCCCTCACCTGTCCAATTCCTGTTCAGCTTTCTGTAGCTGTGATAAGGAATATGGGAATGTTGCTTATTTCCCGGGATCTGCTTGACTGGGGCTGTAGAGACTTTGTGAATGGGGCAGGGTGTTGGACTATGACACCATGTTTCACTGAGGCATGAGCCTAGCACATTGTCACAAATGGTATCTTCTCTGTCCAGGCCTTTCTCCCTTGGGGGAGAAAAGGGTCTGGGCTGCTCTGGTCAAAGAGCCCATTATCCCTATAATGGCTTGGGTTCCCCCTTGCCAAGTACTCTTCTGATTAGACAAAGGGCTATGGACGGTGTTACGTAATATTCTTTGTCATTAGGATTTGTTTTTAAGTTTACAGAAAAAGTTTATCTGATAGGCAATGAAGGAATAAAGTCTGGCAGAGAGAAGCCCACATTCCTCTGGTAAGAACCCCTTCCTGTTTGGAGACAGTTTGTCATAGAGAGGCCCTCTTCCCTTGGGTGGCAACCCCTCTCTTGGAGTTACGGCCCAAACGACCCAGAACTAACTGGATTTACATCACTGGAAGGCTGAGCAGATCCTGGGGCAATGTGTCCATGGGCCCCTTTCTCATTTTCTTCTCAGAAAAGACCAAAAATGTTCCTCTGTGTGTGGGTGTGGGTGTGGGTGTGTGTAGGGGGAGAGATAGGGGCTCTATCTTAGCTCAGACCCCAGCTAACTGGGCATCAACTCGGAGACTTGTACTAAGAAGTTTGTAAATGTTGTTACTAGACTCTGACCTCAGGTGGCAGAGGAAGATGGAAACCGGATGAGTCCCTTGACAGGCCTCTTCTCCCATCAGATTATGAATTATCCCAGGCCAGGTACTGCCACTCCTGTTAAACAGGGAGCTTCTGAAGGCATGGACTTCTATCATCAAACTGGAAGTTTCAGGTCCCTAAAGGCCCTAAGCCTCTTCTATTTTTTCTTTATTAATATTTTCCTTTCTTTCTATTAGGGCGTTAGGTGGTGCAGTGGATAGAATACCAATCCTAAAGTCAGGAACTTGTTTTCCCGAGTTCTAATTTGGCCTCAGATGCTTACTAGCTGTGTGACCCTGGGCAAATCACTTAACCCTGTTTGCCTCAGTTTCCTCATCTGTCAAATGAGCTGGAGTAGGAAATGGCAAACCACTTCAGTATCTTTGCCAAGGAAGCCCCAAATAGGGTCACAAAAAGTCAGACACAACTGAAATGACTGAAAAACAACAACTTCTATTTCTCATGTTGTTTAATAGTACAAGCTTCTGTCAAGAGTAAATTGGAGGGCAGCTAGGTGGTGCAGTGGATAGAGCACTGGCCCTGAAGGAGGACCTGAATTCAAATCCAGCCTCAGACCAAACACTTGACACTAGCTGTGTGACCCTGGGCAAGTCACTTAACCCCAATTGCCTAACCAAAAAAAAAAGAGTAAATTGGGTAAATCTTTGTTGCCTATCTTAAGAGACATTATTGAGTAACCTATGGGCAACTTCTGTAGTGGGCAGCATGCAAGATGAATATGATACAGTCTCTACCCTCAATGTGTATAATAACAGAGAGTTGAGTTAGAAGGGACCTTAGAGATCCTCTATTCCATTTTTCAGATAAGGAGACTAAGTCCCTGAAAGACCATTGGATCATAGATTTAGGGATGGAAGGGATGTCCTAGAGATCATGTAACCCAACCCCCCTCATTTTATTTCTGTGGAAACTGGCCCAGAGAAGTTAATCAACTTGCCTGGGGTCACACAGGAAATAAGAGGGATAGGATTTGAACCCAGATTCTCTGATTTAGATTCAGAACTCTTCCTACACATTATTTTGCTTCCTATGTACTTATGTATTGTATGTTTATGTATATATATATACACACACACACACACACTTGAATCCATGCACTTCTATATGTACTATTTAGTGTTGCTAATTATCTTTGTATGTATATGTACATATGCAGTGGAGTTTCAGAGGAGGGGTATGCCACTATATGGTTAGGAAAGACTTCATCTTTTGTGGATGTCACAGTAGGTCTCCTGTACCTGTGCATGCCCCACCAAGATGATGGGTTCCCTTAGCATTGGGGGAAAAACAGCTACAGTTTAGTCATTTAGTGAACAAAATACTTGTTTAGTGCATACTATGTGTCAGACACTGTGCTAAGCACTACAGATAGAAAGGTAAGAACATGGACCCTGGCCTCCTCATTCTGATGGAGGAGACAAAATGCGAACAACTGTATATAGTCAAGATATATAGTGTAGCGTATTATAGCTGGAAAGGGAATCCAAAGAGCGTCTGTTCCAACCCCCCTTTTTTTTTTTTGCAGATGAGGAAACCGAGGCTCAGAGGAGTGAAGTAAATAACCCAGGGTCACACAGCTGATTAGTGTCAGGGTTGAGTCTTGAAAAGTTTAGTGTGGAGAATCTACTGCAAAACTACCTTGAGAGTTACCTGTAGCTAGGAGATACATTAAAACAGATGATACTTGTTTGTCTTCAGAAGAAGAAGCCCCCTTTTTGTGTGTGTGAAGAAGCTTCTTACATACAGAAATTCTTGGGTCAGTGTTGATATAAGCTGCCTTGGTCTGTGGGTACCTGGCTCCATGGGAGCGTAAGATCCCCATTGGTGATCTAGGACCTGGTATGCTAGGCCCTGTCCCTTATTTCAGCTCCTCTGCTTTTTTGGTTCTTATGTCCTGAGGGAGCAAGCTCAAGGTCTACACTGTCTAGTCACTGCCTTTTGGACCTCACACGCCCTGGTCTGGGCCTGCTGGCTTTGCAGTCAGTGGGAATTTTAGGAAAGTGTGAAAAATGCCAGAATGAAGTATTTTTGCATGTTTACCTCACTGTATGAGCACATAGGTTTAGGTTAGGATGGGAGCTCCCGTGGTGAGATCATGGGGAGATAGAAAAGGTAAAACACTAAAGAGTTCAAAGTGACATTTTAGCATGTGGGCTTGGTTTTTGTTATTTTTCTTTGGGGTAGGGGAGGCATGTTTGCTCTCTTGTGTGTACATGTGCATCTCTCTCTCTTTCTCTCTGTCTGTCTCTGTCTCTTTCTTTATCTGTTTGTTCCTATCTGGCTTTGGCTCTCCGTCTCTGTCTGACTCAGGTACTCTCTCTCTCTCTCTCTCTCTCTCTCTCTCTCTCTCTCTCTCTCTCTCTCTCACACACACACACACACACACACACACACACACACACACACACACATAGAAAGAAGGGGAAGTTTTTCTGGGGCACATGTGCAAGAAGAGACAGCAGAATCTGAGTAAACCACAGGTTGTACCCTTAAGGTGAAATCTCCCTAGCCCTCCCAGCCTTGCTTTACTCCTTTCCTGCTGAATCATTCCCCTTGGCTTTCTTGTTTCTTTGGTTTCTGGCTTCTTAGATTTCACTTTCCCATTCTCTCCACCCCACTGAACTTCCTCTACCCTTAGTTCTTTAGTCTGTCCTTGAGGATACACCCGGAGTGGGACACATAAGCCCTGGGGGAGGTAGGAGACCAGGATGGAAGTTTTAAGGGGAAGAAAGGAAAAAAATAAACAAACAAACCCAAACCCTGGGATAAACATGACTTCTCTAGATATCTGACCTCTTGGAGCCTTGGCCTGAGCTGCTTTGGACCATGATCAGGAATTTAGAACTGAGAGCTCAGGAAGGAGGAATATGGGCATGTGTCCAAGCTAACGCTGGCTTCTTCATCCTGCCTAGAGTTCAAGCCCTGGGGATTCCCTTGAGTTGGGTGAAGTTAGGTGGCTTCTGGTTAACAGTGGACATTGAGGAGAGGGAATGGATGCAGGGCTCAGAATTTAGAGCAGGAGCGCTTAACCTGGGGGCTCAATGAACTTGGTTTTAAGGTATAAATATAGATAGTCATTTTTCAGTATAATTGGTTTCTTTTGTTATCCTATGTATTTTATGCTGTTAAAAACATTCTGAGAAGGGGTCCATAGGCATCACTAGATGGTCCAAGGGGTTCATGTCATGAAATGGTTAAGAACCCCTGAGTTAGAGAGTGCTAACATCACTTGAAGAATTTCAGCCGTCTAGAACAAGAGATTAGCACCTAATTAGCAATGATCATTTAAAATAGGGAGCTGCCAGATGGTGGGCTGGGGTAAGCTCCTTTCACCACCCTGCTCATCTTAATTCCTGATTAATTGATGAGGTCTTTGCTTCATTTGAGTCTTTGCCCTGGTCATAAAACATTCTTGGTTGTGGCTATGGTGGAATGAAAAAGGGGAAAAAATCTAAAAGAGTTTGGGGAAGCAGCCTGATTTCCCCCTTCAGTTATCTAGGGCTCCCCAGTAACCCATACCCCCCACTTCCAAAAAAAAGACACCTTTATTAGATATGTCATCTAATCTTATAAACCTGTATTGCCTTCATAAGATAGGCACGGTGTCACTCATCCAACATACATTTATTAAGTGCATACTGTATACAGAATACTGTATTCATCATGGAAAGTGTTACAAAATTTAGAAAATGCTTAGTCCCTATCCTTGTAAAATTCACAGTCTGGCAAAAGGATTAGTCATACCACAATAGTATATGCTGATCAGTTATTCACCAAGCATTAATTATTACCTGTATTCCAGAGGAGAAACAGCAGAGAGTATTGGAGAGCCAGCTTCAGAGTTGGGAAGACCTGGGCACAAGTCTGTTGTTCAATTGTATCCAAC